AGACCAGCAACTTGATAAATTGACTTTATTTAACTTTCAACAACATAGTTGTCTGTTTCTAGTTCTGGTAATATTAAGTATTCTTTTGGCAAAAGCATAAATTCTAAAACAATTTAAATAAACGGTAATGCATATATGAAAAATGTCAACAGGGCTCTTCAGAAAGGTGAAGAGTAGTAGTTTCTGAATATATACATTTTCACTTGGATTGTTATGTCCCTTTAGGCAATTTGGATTCGATGCAGAGTTCTTTAGAAATGCTATATGTATAATGTTGATCAAATATGTGTCCACAAGTAATGCTCAATAAATGCAACAACACGATGATTAACAGCCTCAATAAAGTAATTTGTTACTTGGGCAATATTGGAAAAACGCCTATCTTAAATTTTAAATCTAACTTTCATGCTCGTGAATATCAATTGGACTCCATATTCATAACATGAAATCATACACTTACAAAACCATCTTTCTAGAAAGATATAAATGAAATAATGTTGAATGAATACTTTTTTTATTTTGCTGGTGCTTATCTCTTTGGTTGGTAACTTGAACATGTGTAAAATAGATTAAGTGAGAGTAGTCTTGTTACAAAAAACTAAAAATATTTTAATCAAAAACGTGAAAGTGGCCATGTTCTTACATAGATTATGATCTGACTAAAAGCTGAAGTTATTCTCATTTCCACATTAATTCTCAGATGTTTTGTGTATGTGTGAAGATAAGATTGCCGCTCATCCCAATCCACATCAAACTATTGGTGGAAATAAAACCTAGTCATAAGAATAAAAAATTACAACCTATTTAATTAAACAGCACATGATGCTTTTCACAGCAGATTATCACATGTGATCTTCACAATGATCTTACGAAACAAGTAATACCAATTACATTTTAAGAGGAAGCTAAGAGAATAATAAATTGTATTGTAGATACAGATCAAAACAGTTGCAAAATGTTTTTTTTAAAACAAAACATGACCTGATTAATTTTCATGTTTGGAAAATGATGACCCACAGTGCTTCTGTAATTTTGAATGAATGAATGAATCAAGTCCCACGTGTAGAGCTTTTTAAGTTGCTTAAAAATCTAAGAATTAAGAAGCAATGGTCCCTGAGGATTGGAATTATGACATATAATGTAGGAACACACGTGAGGACCCATGACCAATGATGGTGTCAAGAGCAACCCATGTGGGTGTAATGAGCTCAGTTAATGTACCATTCAAGATCTGCTCAATTTAGCTTTGGACATTTGCTTTGCTTTCTGGCCCCTAGCCATAAAACTCAATTGCTGCTACATCCACCAAAAAAGCATATGGCACATTCAAACACAGTAACTGAGGGATTGCAATAAAGTTACAATTTACAAAGGTGTTGAAATACTTAAGAGGCACTGATAAGGGATGG